AGCCCTAAAGCCAGGACCCTGCATAAACCCTACCGGCCGAACACACTTCGAGTAGGAGCTCCACTCTTGGGTGGTTATCCGAAGCCCTGAATGCTAAGCCCTATAAACCCTGAACCTTGCCAGGACACAAGGCCGACGCCCAAGGAGGCTCTCGGCTGCCGGCAGCTCAGCGTCGGCCCTCGAACCCGAATGCCCGCCTGGTCCGTTAAAGGGACGGCCAGCAGGGCGGAGAGCAGACGGGGTGAGAGTAAGGGGAGGGGGGCCGTGTCTCGGGTAGGATTGGGTAGGGTAGGGTCGGGAAGGGGAAAGTGCAGGGCAAGAGAGGGGGGTGAAATAAAACAGGGCACCCAATTCTACTTTGTAGGAGGCATTGAAGAGGGATCGCACCCAGCCCCACTTGAAGAAAAGGGTTTGAGGTTTCAGGTTTAGGTTTCGGAATCAGGGCCCAAGTCTTGGTCCCAGCGTCGCTAGATGGCACGAGTTGGCCATGACCATTACTACGGCGAACCTACAACCTACACCGCCACTATGGCGAAACCAGAGCCTACACCGCCACTAAGGCGAACCCAGAACCTACACCGCCGCTACATGGAGATAGAGAACCTACCCTACACCGCCACTACGGCGAAACCAGAACCTGCACCGCCGCTCGATGGACGTGGAGGCCCTACACCGCCACTACGGCGAAACCAGAACCTAGACCGCCGCTAGATGGCACGAGTTGGCCATGACCTCTACTACGGCGAACCCACAACCTACACCGCCACTACGACGAAACCAGAACCTACACCGCCACTAAGGCGAACCCAGAACCTACACCGCACTACGGCCTTGAAGGTGGGTTTAGGGTTTCGGCTTAGAGTTGAAGGGGCAATGTTTCAGGGTTTAGAGTGTGTTTATAGTTCGGCGCGAAGCCCTAAAGCCAGGACCCTGCATAAACCCTACCGGCCGAACACACTTCGAGTCGGAGCTCCACTCTTGGGTGGTTATCCGAAGCCCTGAATGCTAAGCCCTCTAAACCCTGAACCTTGCCAGGACACAAGGCCGACGCCCAAGGAGGCTCTCGGCTACCCGAATGCCCGCCTGGTCCGTTAAAGGGACGGCCAGCAGGGCAGAGAGCAGACGGGGTGAGAGTAAGGGGAGGGGGGCCGTGTCTCGGGTAGGATTGGGTAGGGTAGGGTCGGGAAGGGGAAAGTGCAGGAGAGGGGGGGGTGAAATAAAACAGGGCGCCCAATTCTACTTTGTAGGAGGCATTGGAGAGGGATCGCACCCAGCCCCACTTGAAGAAAAGGGTTTGAGGTTTCAGGTTTAGGTTTCGGAATCAGGGCCCAAGTCTTGGTCCCAGCGTCGCCAGAACCCTAAACCTAAACCCTAAACAACTACTACCCCCACAGCCCCGCCCGGCGCATGCTCCGACCTGCGAGCAGGAGTTGGAGGGAGTTGGCTGCGTGCCCTTCCCCTTACGTTCAGTGCCTCGCGCAAGAGAACTCTTTGAGTTTTTGAGGTTTGGGGTTAGGGGTTTAGGCTCTAGGGTTGAGGGGTTGCGGGTCTGCCGCTTTAGAGGTTTGGGCTTTAGGGTATAGGGGCTGAGGGCTTCAGGGTATAGGGGCTGAGGGCTTCAGGGGTTAACCCTGACAAGGCCACCCTCAGTAATTAGCAGGCAGCCACCCTGAACGCGAACCCTACCAAACTTCGCGAAAGCATTTTGGGTTTATGGTGTGCGCGGGGTGTGCGCGGGGTGTGCGCGGGGTGTGCGCGGGGTGTGCGCGGAGTGTGCGCGGGGTGTGCGCGGGGTGTGCGCATGGTGTGCGCGGGGTGTGCGCGGAGTGTGCGCATGGTGTGCGCGGAGTGTGCGCATGGTGTGCGCGGAGTGTGGGTGTGCGCGGGGTGCGCGCATGGTGTGCGCGGGGTGTGCGCGGGGTGTGCGCGGGGTGTGCGCGGAGTGTGGGTGTGCGCGGGGTGTGCGCATGGTGTGCACGGGGTGTGGGTGTGCTCGCGGTGTGCGCGGGGTGTGCGCGGGGTGTGCGCGGGGTGTGCGCGGGGTGTGCGAGGGGCGTGCGCGGGGTGTGCGTGGGGTGTGCGCGGGGTGTGCGCGGGGTGTGCGCATGGTGTGCGCGGGGTGTGCGCGGAGTGTGGGTATAGATGTATAAACCTAAACCCCTAAACCCCTAAACCCCAAACCCTAAAGCTCGCCTTCTGTGGCTTGCAGCTGCTCTCCCTACACTATACCTAGGCCCAAGAGTGGCCAAGGAATAAACAGGGCGCCCTTTCTGGCTTAAAGGGGCTTATGGGGGAACTCAAGCCCTAAAAACACGGAATCAGGGCCTACTCTGGGTCCTAGATGACGAGACCCCTAGTTCACGTGTAACATGTAGACGAATCATTAGTAGATGGTTAAGCTCTTTGAGGTAAAGTGAACCAACACCGCTTCACCCGCAACCCCTGCCGCCTGGCGCTTCTGGTGTTCCGGGCGCCTCCTGTCGGTGCAGGGTTAATGTCTCTACAAAAAATACCTGGCCCCACCCTCCCCCTCCCCCTCCCCTCCCCCCCCTCAAGCGCTTTCTTAGAACATCAGCCTGTCTGAGGTACTGAGGGCCCTCCACAATCCCTTCAAGGGCATATCTGGGGTCCTAATTCCCTCATTCCCTAAAGGCCCTAAAGGCCCTAAACCCTAAACCTAACCCTAAACCCTAAACCCTAAACCCTAAACCCTAAACCCTAAACCCTAAACCCTAAACCCTAAACCCTACGAAGAACCAGCCAGAAGAATGCAGCCCATGGCCTGGGCTCTCAGAGCGCGCCTTGACGCTCGGCGAAGAGGCTGGGGCCTAACATCTGCTTGCATAAAGGCTTTTCAAGCATTTCCTACTTCGAGTTATAATGTGATGAACCGCAATCCCTGCACAGCCTCCTTGGCAGGGTGTATGATTCTCCCGAAAATGCTCCGTGATGGCTCGGAGGCAGTGACCTGCAGCAGCAGGGTTTAGGGTTTAGGGTTTAGGCTTTAGTGTTTAGGGTTCCCCCAAAAAAACAACCATGAGCGTGCCTCCTAAGATCTTCAAAAGCCCGGTGGGCGTGGTTGCGAGTTCCAGGACGTTAATGGCTTACATCTGGGTGTTGAGAGTTTAGGGCTCTTGGGATTCTGTAGCGATTACATCAGAGTTCACGGCTCACAGGTGCACTTTTCAGGTACATGCCCGCACCAGGAGCAAACTCCACATCCTTCTAGCGTGCCTCTACAGGCTCGAAACCCTAAACTCTCTTTCAGTGCTCGCGGTGTGCGCGGGGTGTGCGCGGGGTGTGCGCGGGGTGTGCGCGGGGTGTGCGCGGGGTGTGCGCGGGGTGTGCGCGGGGTGTGGGTGTGCGCGGGCCCTAAACCCTAGCGGTGGTGAGCTAAACCCTGAACCCTAAACCCTGAATCGCAAGACAGGTCCGAGGAGTTGTAGCTCAGCTGCTGGCGCCGATCAGCAGGGCACCATGCGATTAGCTGAGTGCACCTAAACCCTAATGGCCATGTTGGGGGGGGGGAGGGGTAGCATCGTGTGAGCAGAGTCGTGAGGGGCAGCTGCTGATAGGATCGTGTGAGCAAAGTCGTGAGGGGCAGCTGCTGATAGGATCGTGTGAGCAAAGAGGTCTGAACCGCAGAAGCAAGCGGCGTAACTGTGCGTTTCTAGGTCGTAACTAACAGGTAAACGCCGTAACTGAGCACGCTAATTTTTTATGAAAACTTCATGATTTTTGTCGGTGTTGTGTGCTTCTGTAATGAAAATGATGCAAAACTGATGAAAAGCATAAAATGTTTATTTACAAATCATAATTTTTTCATTTACGAGAAAGCATCATGTTTTCGTAAAGAAAATCTTCAAATTCTCGTAAAATCGCAAAGAATCATATTTTTCGTAAAAAATCATAAATCCAAAAACTTCAAGAAATATCTCAAATCATAAGCTGTTCATAGAAATTATATTTGGCAACGTGCTCTCTGTGGCTGAATCCGGGGTCATAATCCTAGCGACCAGTAGAATCGAACGCGCCCCCAATTTTGCGATCACACAGCCTCCGTAGGCACCAGCCGGAAGCAATTGAGCACAGTCAAAGACATGAAGTCAAGGACATGACGCCCTGCCTACTGGATACTCGGCCTGGCAAAGCGGCACAGCTGCACAGCCAGAAGCTCTCCCGGATTTAGCCTTGCGCATTGGGATTTGCATTGGGCCTTCGTGTCATCAACCGGCACGATTGGCACCTGACAGTCGTGACTTGAAACGATGTGATATGTGAGGCGCAGTTCAAAGGACCGGGGACTCAGATTCTGCATCCCCAGGGCAGCCTTGGAGAGGTCGATGACTAGGGGATGTAGCGCACGATTCCTAAGTACCCAGATATGTAGTATGTTAGTACTGGATTGCTACTCCACACTTCTAGCAGGTTCTGCAGGTAGCACTCTTGTGGGGTTTCATCTCGTGACGAAACGTGTCGAGGGTCAGGATGAAGAATGCCCACAAGCACAGGATGAATCCGGTTCCTGGTTTCGTGTCCTTCAGGCAACAGCGGTGCGGCTTTACAGAAAGCATGGCAACTCGTCGCGTCTGAGTCGAAGTTGGCAAACGTGACGACGTCAAGGAATTGCAGCGGACACCAGCAAAGGCCTTCTTCGGAACGTCAGAGAAAGTCTTGTCGGTGTAACTTGTGGTCGGCGCCATGACTGACACTCGAAATGACAAGGTGGAGTGCTATTGCATTGCTCAGGCATTCACACGAAGCAGGGTTGATGCATGTAGCAATTGACTGCCGCTATTTGCTCTGTGGATGTCACATCAGATACACGTGCGGATCTACCATGAGAGCTGCCACAAACAGGCTTCAGCCAGCAATATGGCTATTCAACCAGATATGACAGGGCATGTAGCAACGAAAGCTCTTTCGCAGGCAGAGAGCCCACATTCAGCCGTCTGCCTTCTCAGGGAGACAACATGCAAAGACGTCTCCAAGCCAACGGCATGCAATGATGCAGGCGATCCACACCTGGAACATACACAAGGTCGGCGCTTGAGGTGTAGGATCGTCTTGCGGATTCCATCAGCCCTGTCAGCCTGACCCCCTCAGCAGCAGATGGAAGAGCAGCAATCCTGAGCGGCTTGAGGGTTTCATTTAGCAACCAGGCAAGTTGAGGACATTTGGGGGTGCGCTGGGTCCCTTACAATGATGGATCCATTCCAAGCCTTAGTGACATTCTGTTGCCTTGCACTTTTCAGGTGTCAATCCCTCCTAGGAAGCATCAAGCTCAAATTTGACCAAGAAGATGCCTGGCTAAAGGTCAACCACACCCTGTCTGATTAAACGAACTTTCGGGTTTCTACATGTGCTTCGAGAAGTTCGAGCGCCTGGTTCCAAGGAGTGAGAGCATCGCGACGTGCTCGCGAATCTGCCAACAGTTCACATGCTGAGAAAGAAGAAGGAGGAAAAACAAAGGATTATACAAAGGAGGATGAACTCCGGATGAATGGCATGGGTCTCCTACTCTGCCTTGCCACGAGCACTCAGTTGACACAGCTGCTCGACTTAAGCCATCAGCTGCCTGCTTCATGTCGAGCTGACCAGAACGTAGCTGCTTGCAGCTCTGCAGCTGTGCGCAGCGGCAAAGCTGCAAATCCTGCAGTGTGGGGTCCTAAAGGAGTACATGGCACAGTACCAAAAAAAGCCCAACATGCTTGCAAAGGTGCAAGCATCCTTCTCAAGCCACAGGCTTTCAAGACACAAGTCACCTGTCTCAATGTGAGCAACTCCTGCGAAAGCTGCAGCATTGTCTGGCCAGGGCACGGCACCTGCAAGGAGCCAGAAACGCAAGATGGGAGCTAAGCTTGGCAAAATGTGGCAAAGCACTGGATTCAGTCGCCACGGCAGCGCATGCAGAGTGACTGCAAGGCATTGCAATGTGCATCCAGCCAGAGACCTCACGATCGTGGTCGACGAGTGCAAGGCGGGGCAGCTCCATGGAAACCTTTCACCCAGGATCTTAAAGCTTTGCTTTGTGGCCTGCAAATGTACCTTCTTTCCCTCGCTGAGACACTTTGAAACTTTGATAGTTTGAGCAGAGACGAACATTTTTGTGCTATCGGCCTGGGAAGCCTCGAGGCGCCGGACCTGAGCAGAGGGGATTTCTAAGGAAGATCTTGGGAGTCAGTGAGTCTGTGTGTGTGATTTGTGCGAACACAGGCAAACACTACTGCTGCCTAAGGTGTTTGGCCCATATCTTGACCGTGTGCTATCAAGTTGTTTGTGTCGCTGTTGCAGTCGCTGCCTTTGCTGGTCGTTCTCCATAAGGAACCAGGGCTTCTGGTGCCTTGGAAGAGCGTGCAGAGCAAGCCAGTACCAAGCGCATGTTCCGGCCCGAAATTAGTTCCGAACTGCCGTTCTCGGACTGGCAAGGATAGGTGGGCCGCGCCTGCAGAACAATGCACGTGCCACAGACTTGCCACCGTATGATTTTCAGCCACCAAAGAAGCCGGCGCCTGAGACCACGTCCGGCCAGGATGCCAACGAAGGTGCCGGCGACGGAAGCTCCAGCCACTAGCAAGGCGACCTCCAAGTAACAAGGTGTCCAGGCCTGGGAAATACCAAGAAGCCCGGAACAGCGCTCCACAGCAGAACCCCAGACATGTACCTCCATTGCAGGCCTAGATGGGAAAAAAAGCTCCCTACTACAAGCTCAGAGGCTATGCGCTTTCGAGCCTGCAGTGCCTGCGTCAATGCTATCGCTATCATGCTGTCCTGCTTGCAGAGCACTGCCGCTCTAGAGTCGGTCAGTCAGTCAATCGGTGAGTTTGTCTGCCTGTTCTAGGCGTGGGAGAGTGAGAGAATGAGAGAGTGTGAGAGAGTGTGAGAGAGTGTGAGAGAGTGTGAGAGAGTGTGAGAGAGTGTGAGAGAGAGTGTGAGAGAGTGTGAGAGAGAGTGTGAGAGAGTGTGAGAGTGTGAAAGAGTGTGAGAGAGCGTGAGAGAGTGAGCGCCTGGTCAAAAAGGGGAAGGGCACGTTGGAGTGAGACTGATGACTCTTAGCAAGCACGCCAACGATGCCACAATCCTGAAAGCAGACGCGAGAGAACTGCTTGAACTTACTCTCAACCGGCAGGCGGATATGCCACAAGTAGGGGGAAAACGCCATGTACAATGTCCACGTCGGCTTCGGAGAATCTACATACTCGGCGAATAGCGAAGAAACATCGGAGAAGCTTGTCTGGGCCATTGGTTGCTGAGACCACCAATTCGTGCATGACCCTTCTCGGAAGTGGGTGTCTGGGTGCGTGGGTGTGGGGGTGTGCGGGTATGCGGGTGTGTGGGTGTGTGGGTGTGGGTGTCGGTGTGTGGGTGTGTGGGTGTATGGGTGTGTGGGTGTGTGGGTGCGGGTGTGTGGGTGTGTGGGTGTGTGTAGGGGTGTGTGTGTGTGTGTGTGTGTGTGTGTGTGTGTGTGTGTTGTGTGTGTGTGTGTGTGTGTGTGTGTGTGTGTGTGTGTGTGTGTGTGTGTGTGTGTGTGTGTGTGTGTGTGTGTGTGTGTGTGTGTGTGTGTGTGTGTGTGTGTGTGTGTGTGTGTGTGTGTGTGTGTGTGTGTGTGTGTGTGTGTGTGTGTGTGTGTGTGTGTGTGTGTGTGTGTGTGTGTGTGTGTGTGTGTGTGTGTGTGTGTGTGTGTGTGTGTGTGTGTGTGTGTGTGTGTGTGTGTGTGTGTGTGTGTGTGTGTGTGTGTGTGTGTGTGTGTGTGTGTGTGTGTGTGTGTGTGTGTGTGTGTGTGTGTGTGTGTGTGTGTGTTGTGTTTGTAACCCCTGCAGCCATGAATTCTGACGTCAGTTGTGGTCCGGTGTCTGCTTGCAAGGGAGAGATTGTGCTGTACCCTGTGGAATCAACAGTTTGCAGGGGAGTGCGGCATGACTGTGGGACCACACTTTATGAAGCTACCACAGTCTTGAGGTACTGGGCCTGATCGACCCAGAATACCTGCAGTCTCACCATCGGATTGCAGAGGTTCATTGATGCAAAAATTGTCCAGATAGAGAGATTGCCTTGTCAGTTGAGTGATAGGTGATTCCTCGTCTGCAAAGTTCATGGAGCATCTGCCAGTTCACGTTTCCCGCTCGGAATGGAGGTCTGCTCGAGTGCATGCGGGCGGGCGGGCATGCGTCTCTTGGTGTCGCTCGTTTTGAAGCGCTTTGGCAAGGCTTTATGCACCATTAGTGCCATGAGTCGTGCCGCACATTGGTGGCATGTGGCAGCAGTAGGACGCAGCAAAAGGTCGTGCTCCTTCTACTAGTCTAGATAAGCGGGGCATCACAGCAAGCCAGTCTAGTGCCATCGGCAGCTGGGCAGCAGGACCCTGTGACGTTGGCGCAGCCAGGGAACAGGGTGCACTCAGCACCCGGCATGATCGGCAAAGCCTCGGGAGCCAGCCTACAGTATACTTAGTATACTTGTACATGAGGTGTAGTGAAAGTCAAGCCGATAGTTGGTTCAGCGATTCAAAACTAAGCCCGAAGCCTTCGTAAGTGGCGGTGGGAAGCCGTTGCAGCAGCCCAAGAGCACGTTGTCATCATTTGGGCAACATGAGCCCTGATTGATTCCCACAGCCATACAGGCAGGATATGCGGAGCAGCTCGTACCGTTGATGCCAGGCAAAACAGGAGTAGGTTCAGACGTCATGCTGTCAGTGGACACATCCGTACCGACACTGGCCTCCGCAGCAGGCATCACGCCATCAACAGCTGGTCGTCCTCCACAGAAAGCTGGCCCGGAAACGGTGTCGGAATACTGATAAGGAGCAGCCTTGGCCGTAGACGATGCATCAGTCAGCAGGCATCCACCGTCAGGCCAGAAAGTGAAGTGCTCGCACGCTGGCGTGTTGACGCACCGTTGCTGGCAACTTTCCGCCGTGGTCTCCACGGTCCTTTCCGTATTCTCCATCTTATGCGGGTCGGCATAGAACATGCCCATCTCTAAGCAGTTGTCAGCCAGTCCGACAAAGCCACTCATCTTACTGCGAAGTCCACGAGGGCTTCTCTGTGACATCAGTGCCAGAGCTACCAGGCTTATCCCGCCCAGCACCATCGCCACGCGGCGCGAGAAGGGCGTGCCAAGCGTGCTGTGGCTGCCCTGCGGTGCTTCCAGCAGCTCCTCCGTGTCCGAGCTGGGCAGCGCCATGTCTGAAAGGAGAGAGAGGCAACTCTTCGGAGAGACTGGACACGGGCTTGACTCCTCAAGCTTGCGAGGCACAGCATCCAGGTGCAGCGAGCCGTGGGCTGGAGCACAGAGCCGAACCTGGCACATCCTGGCACCTTTTCCCACAGCCTACGCACAACTTTTGCTTTTAGGTCATACTTGAAGGCTCCACATATTAACAGCATGTAAACGGCTTGTCCCCCGGCATTGCAGGGAAGTTGATTCCAAATGATTCCAAGATTGCAACCTCGAATCTTGCTGGCTTTGCAGCACGTCCTCGCTTCTACACAGAGGTCATCTGGTCACAGCAGGACAGCCGAACACCATCCGAAGCAGGGCAGCATGCACCCGTCATGTTCATCCTCGCACACACAGGAAAAGAACTACAGGCTGCACCAGCAGCGACCTTGAGCTCCGCCATTTTTGGCGGAAAGCCGTTGCAGCAGCCGAGGGACACCTTCTCGTCATTGGGGCAGCAGCTTCCTTCCTTAATCCCTGCAGCCACACAGGCAGGATAGGCGGAGCAGCTGCTGCCGTTCACGCCAGGCACAGCAGCAACCATGGTCTGAAGTGGAGCCCCGCTACCGCTTGGGCCACCAGTACCACTGGGCTGAGCTGGTTCAGCTGTGTTTTGTGTTGGCGCTTCAGGCGCGATCCATCGACAGGTGTGGGGACCCGTGACTGTCTCGGAATACTGGTAGGGAGCAGCCTGGAGCACGGAGGAATTATCGGTAAGAAGACAACCACCGTCTGGCCAGTATGTGAAGTGCGCACAACCAGAAACTCCTCGACAACGCACCTGACAAGCCTGGCTGCTAGCCTCCACTGTCTGATCAGTACCATCCATCTTGTGCGGACGTGCATAGAACATCCCGGGTACAAAGCAACCTGCCTCATCGAGGCCCAGAAACTCATGAGAGTTCCGCAAGCCATGAAACCCACTGCTGGACAAAACTGCAATGGTCACTAGGCCAAGTCCTCCCAGAAAAAGGGCTACATACCGGGAGAAGGGTCCCGGCTGATCTTGCACATGTCGCATGGGGAGTAGCCCTTCAATCTCAGCAGTCATATCAGCCATGGCGAACGCGGAAAACTATAATTGGTGGGTTGCTTGAGACGCAGCGCTGCCTGCGAACAACCGCTCAGCTACTCTGTGGTCTGCAAATTTGCTGCTGTCAGCTGGAAGGCCCAAACAAACCCCAGACAGGAGGGTGCTTGTGCTTCACAGCATGGCGCAGCACACTCTGAGCAGCTTTCATCACAGAAAACTTCTTGCCTGACTTCGCCCCATGCCACACTTTTGTGGGCAACAGGCTTGCTGGCTTTGCAGCACGTCCTCACTTCTACACAGAGGTCATCTTGTCACAGCAGGACAGCCGAACACCATCCGAAGCAGGGCAGCATGCGCCCGTAATGTTCATCCTGGCACATGCAGGGAAATCAATGCAGGCTGTACCAGCAGCGATCTTGAGCTCCGCCACTTTTGGCGGAAAGCCGTTGCAGCAGCCAAGGGACACCTTCGCGTCATTTGGGCAGCAGCTTCCTTCCTTAATCCCCGCAGCCACACAGGCAGGATAGGCGGAGCAGCTGCTGCCGTTCACGCCAGGCGCAGCAGCAACAAGGGTCTGAACTGTTTTGCCAAAGGTGTCAGTGGCTGTCTGTGTCTCTGATGAAGGCGAGAGCGAATCCTCGCAAGAAGCTGGCCCGGAAACGATGTCGGAATACTGATAAGGAGCAGCCTTGGCAGTAGACGATGCATCAGTCAGCAGGCATCCACCGTCAGGCCAGAAAGTGAAGTGCTCGCAAGCTGGCGTGTTGACGCACCGTTGCTGGCAACTTTCCGCCGTGGTCTCCACGGTCTTTTCCGTATTCTCCATCTTATGCGGGTTGGCATAGAACATGCCCTTCTCTAAGCAGCTGTCAGCCAGTCCGACAAAGCCACTCATCTTACTGCGAAGTCCACGAGGGCTTCTCTGTGACAGCAGTGCCAGAGCTACCAGGCTTATCCCGCCCAGCACCATCGCCAAGCGGCGCGGGAAGGGCGTGCCAAGCGTGCTGTGGCTGCCCTGCGGTGCTTCCAGCAGCTCGGTGTCCGAGCTGGGCAGCGCCATGTCTCGAATATGTGCTAGCAGTCTTGCTAACAGCCTAAGCGAACTAGCTCATGCGCTTGAGAGGCGCTTGACAAGCGAGTTACTCGATGGTACTCCAGACGTCTCGGCCTGTGCACCGGGCGGGTCAAGGGCAGCCTGTGTTTTCAGATGCTCGAGCAGACTTTGCCCCGTTCTTCGGATGCAAAGACCTTTAGAAAGAGACGGACATGTCTCTGAGTCCGATGGACCAACAACCGCTATCTATGCTTGATGCGCACCCTGGAGGGTGAGCGCTTCTCTCAAAGGTGGTCACCTCTGAGACAAGTAGCTTGCATAGATTTGGTACGTATCAAGGCTGTCGAAAATCAACCTCTAAGCAACTAACCCTCTCCGACACCACAGGTGTGACCACAACGTAGGCAAGAGTACTCGCCGCATTGGCCTTTGACCAGCGGCAAGCCCGGCTCTTTGCATCCCCCCCTTCCTAGACTTTCCTAGGTCTGTTTAGACCACCCTCAGGTTCGTCTTCGGAACCACGTTGAACGATCTTGACGGATGCGACTCTTTCTGCGCAGGGGCTGAAGTGTTCACAACTGTCAGTGGTTCTGCCAAGAGTTGAGCAAACATGTTTGATGAATGTTGGGATCTTTGCAACCCGTGAAACTCGCAGGGCGCACCGCGTTGATCCTACCTGGGCTGTCCATAACCTCCGTCAACCTGAGCAAAGCGCCACTTCTTTCCTTCCTGAGCCTTTTGCAATGCACAACACGGGCAACGCCACGAAGGCATCGAGTGCCATGCTTTTGCCAGCTGTCCGCGTTGGCTTTGCGCACGGGTCTCATGACCCTGCCTGGCCAAGGTTCCAAAACTTCCCAAGCATGGCCACACGCTTTCTGAAATCGCGATCACGTGGAACCCCGCCTGACGGATACTTCTCCCTCTCCTGGCAGTTTCCGCATAAGCGAAGCGGGGCCATGGCCATGAGCAGCACGTGGCAGCAAGCCTTGTCGCGGATCTGTGGTGCTCTGCCAGGGGCATCTTGCCTGCACTTTCATGACAAGCTCATCGCCCTAAGAAAGTCTCCGGGTCTGCTCGGTGTGTGAATCTCACTCTCTGGCCGGACAAGGCACCTACTCGATTTACTCTGCGACCTAGCCCTAATATATGGTCCTGCATATTCGTGTTCTTCAGTAGACCACGGATGTCCCACAAGCGCTTAGACAGCGATAGTCCATGAAACACGAACATAAACCCGACAAAAGCACAACAACGCAAACGGAACATTTCGTTGTCTTTGGACTGACCACGTTTGACTCTGCCTCCTGGGTGTGAGGTTCGTCGGATTGACCGTGTTCACCTGATGTTTGGTGCTCTGTAAATTCCAAAGTGGCCTAAATGCAGAACTCCTTGGGTTGCAATCCTCCTGACCTGCACATCAGCCATGGACTCCTCTGCTGGCTGATGTTGCCTTGGCAAGTACTTGACACCCATCAACGATGCGCATCGCTACGCAGCACAAGCTCTGCGTTCCGCTTGCATCAACGCGACTCTAATGCCTGTACTCAGGTCCTGGCGAGTGTGAACTTGCACAGATCAACTTGGCAACTGCCTGGAGTCTGCGCTGGAAAACGCTACGAGAGGATCAAAGTCGTGGTCCAAAGGGCCATCACGTAAGGAGGCTTTCTTGGACGTTGTTACGATGTTGCTCACGACAGAGCTTCTGACTCTGGTTGGCCGCTGTCTGGGCGAATGATTTGGTATGGCCTTGGAGCCCGAACTCTCGAGGAGCCCTTCGTTGCTTCGATTCCGGCTTGCCCACAAGTTTGAGGGCCCGCACAATTGGCATTGAAGGAAACTGGAGCGCCTGCTCCTGTCAGAACCCAGCCATGCCATGGACTCGCTTCGAATTTGGCTGCTCTGCACCTTGGCCACGAGCCACCGCTGCAGGGCGTCGACTTTGGGCGAGGCGGCAGTGTCCCTGTCAGGAACCCATGCGCCAGATTGCGCCAGATTGCGCGAGCCTCCCCCCCATGGTGAATTAGAGCAGTCAACTGTCCACCTTGGCGAACGCTTGCCCAATCGGCCTAAGGGCACTTTGGACAGTAATATATGACCCGAGTGCTGGCAAAGAAGTGAAGACAAGCAGCTGCTTGTCTGCAAACCATCAGCAGCGGGTGCTGCACAGGGCTGTAGCACAAATGAAGGCACAGAAGCACGTACCCGCGCACGACTTCAAACTCTCGAGCCTGCCGCTGCTGCTGAGCCCTGCAAGGCCGGAGGAACGTGTGGGAGAGCATGGCATTCCCAACTGTTCGTCTGTGCCCGAAGCAGACAATTTCACAAACCCGATGGGAATGAGAAAACCCTCAAGAACCGGCCTCTTGTGGCCCAGCAGCGGCCTCGGAAGGTGGCGCTTCCGCCCCCTGGGAGCTGGCAGGAGACAGATAGACACAGAATGCTATATACATATATATATATATATGCCAACCGCCCAAGACTCCAGTTGTCAAGTAATGTTGCACCCGCAATATTCTAGGGGGACGCTATTATGAAAAGTTTTCCGGCCATTCAGGATCTGGACCCTTTGTTTTGGGGGTCCGCTATAATGAAAAGATTTCGGGCCGGGCCTGTTTTTTTGAGGGTGTCAGGAAGGCATAAGCTTCTCGAGAAAGAGAGATACTTGAAGCCTGAAGCCTCGACCTGTCCAGGATCTCCGACAATCTTCTTTTTTCAGGGCGCCTTTTCTTTATAAATTCCTTACTTAAAACTAGATGATTCCATAGGCGAATCATATCCGGAAAGGGGGTACCTTACGGAGGCCTCCGGACACACTTTAATACCTTTGTTTGGGGGCCCGCTATAATGCAAGTCTCCCGGGGCCAGGGGCTCAGTCCTTCGGTTTTCAGGAAGGCATAAGCTTTCTCGAGAAGGAGGGATACTTGAAGCCCTCCTCGACCTGTCCAGGATCTCCGACAATCTTCTTTTTTCAGGGCGCCTTTTCTTTATAAATTCCTTACTTAAAACTAGATGATTCCATAGGCGAATCATATCCGGAAAGGGGGTACCTTACGGAGGCCTCCGGACACACTTTAATACCTTTGTTTGGGGGCCCGCTATAATGCAAGTCTCCCGGGGCCCGGGGCTCAGTCCTTCGGTTTTCAGGAAGGCATAAGCTTTCTCGAGAAGAAGGGATACTTGAAGCCTGAAGCCTCGACCTTTCCAGGGTCGCGGGGTAGCTTAGGGAGGCTCCGGACCCCCCCCCCCCCGACTGTTTGGGGTCTTTTTTATTCAGGCTCGCGACTGTTGAGGGGGGGGGGGGGGGGGGGGGTTACATTATTAAAGCAGGTCCAACATTACAAGACTCAAAATGCATCCATTCTTGTAGCGATTGTCTTTAATTTAAATATTCAAGAATCAAAAACCAACACACATACATACATACACACACACCCACCCACACAAGCACACCCGCACACCCGCACACCCGCACACCCGCGCACCCGCACACCCGCACACCCGCGCACCCGCACACCCGCACACCCACACACCCACAAGAAGCGGGTGGGAGCCGTGTGACCTGAAATCCCTGAGATACCAAGAAGATGATCACTTCAACGCTTTTTTACTATGGGAGCCAATTCGCGGCTCAAGCGGCAACCATAAAACGACATCTGTGGGTAAGGTTGCTTAGCACAAGCTTAGCCCAAGCTGTGAAATCGAGATGGTACAGCCATCTACCTGATAGCGCGAGAGAGCATGTGCAGCATTTGCAACTTGTCGCATACTTAAGACCAGCACGGGTTGCGTAGACTATAGAAGTAACAAGGTTGGTCCCTAGCGATGTAGCAAAGGACGCAGATGCAACACAGACGGATACACAGAGTCATATGGCCATATTGCTGTCTCATGTTCTCAGCTCTGCCTAGGAGTCTGCCTTTACTCCCTAAACTCAACAGAAATTCTTGCAAGGTGCTGTACCGACATCAGACCCTATGCCAGGGCACTGCAAGTCGATGTTCGGGTTCCGTACACATATACATACAGTATCACATACACACACATACACATACACATACACATACATATACACATGCACATACATAGAGACACACAGCCGCACATGTACAGATAGCAGCAGCAGCATGCCGAAGGCACCTCCGACGCCCCAAGGTAGTCACTGAGGTGGAACTTTCGCGACGGGATGACCTGCGTCGGGTTCAGCGCTTAGTCACGGTGCAGAGTTTGGAGTTTAGGGCTTGGGGTTGACGGTGCGGGCGAGAAAAGAACCTGGAACTCAGAATAGGAGGCTTGAACACAGGCAACCTCTGTGGTTAGATCTAGGCAACCACGTCGGACCCTTCAGCTCTTTCCTTTCACTTCAGGATTGCACCTGAACACCAACAGAAGTCGCGGCAGGCACGGCGATTCAACTTGAGCGCCCTAAAACATGGAATACTTGGTCAATGCTTGGGATCCATGATTCAGAGGCTTGAGCCAAGGAGCCGAATTTGCTAGAGTAGTGTACCGACATTGCGGGGCCTTTTCCAGCCATCTTTCTTCTTGCCTTTCACTTCACTTGTCATCGCACGTAGTCGAGGCCGAGGCTTCAGGATGTCATTTTGTGGGTCTGGGGCCGAGGGTTTAAGGCTTGAGGGGTTCATGGGGCCATTGATTTCAGCATTATCCCCGTTTCCGGTCCCAGGAACGTGAGGACTGTCAAGCTTTGAACTGATAAGCCCCTTAAATTCTGAAGGTTTTCGGAGTTCGCTTGAATTACAGTACAAAAGCAACCTGAAACAGTTCCCGTATTTCAGAGCATAAACTGCGGCGTGTAATTCATACTTAGGAACGTAGCTGCTGGGTTTTGAAGGTTTCTCGCAGCCTGTGAGCCTCAAGGCTTTTTCCCAGTAGATGTCCTTCATTATTCTCGCCTGGACCTCAGAGACAACATGTATTTCTGGAAAGAGCCCCTGGGATCTCGGTTCCAACGATTGTGCCATTTCGAAACTCTGTCCCGCAGC